TAGCCGGAGAGGCAGGCAGAGAGAGAGAGAGAGGGAAGCAGGCTCCCCGCTGAGCAGAGAGCCCGATGCGGGACTCGATCCCAGGACCCTGAGATCATGACCTGAGCCGAAGGCAGCGGCTTAACCCACTGAGCCACCCAGGCGCCCCCATCAGCTAAAATCTTAATAAAAGCTGTAATGATGGTATAATCCGAAAAGGCTTTCTTGTATTAGTGATACCACTGACTACCCTTGCTGGTGTTCGCACTTCTGAAGACAAAGTAACAGAAAGAAACGCCAGGCCGTCACCTTCTAAGTGAGAGAACGCCGGCTCACCGAGGCACACACTTCTGCCCACACACCAAAGTCAGACACAGACTGGGTCCGCTCACCCTTAAAGCAACGACCAACACCAAGAAGTGCAGTAAAAATTCAAATAAAGGCAAATTATTTAACTGTGAAATAAACTCATCTAGGGGCGCTTGGGTGGCACAGTAGGTTAGGCCTTTGCCTTCAGCTCAGGTCATGACCCCTAGGTCCTGGGACTGAGTCCCTCGCAGGGCTCCCTGCTCAGCGAGGAGTTCGCTTCTCCCTCTGCCTCTCCCACTGCTCGTGCTCTCCTGTTCTCTGTCCAATAAATACATCAAATCTTAAAACAAGACACATCTCAAGCTGACCACCTTCCCTCCCCACCGCCACGGGGAACCCCGAGCAGACCGCGTGCTGTCTGTCGGACGTACATTAGCAACACCCTGCTGTGGGCTGAGGGACGCCGCTCCTAAACCCTGAGCACTCAGCTGAGAGAGAAACAGCACGCTCGGACTGTGGGGTCACTTCTCCCCTCCCTGTTAGGCCACGTCTAAGGACTCCTGAAGTCCTTGGAAACCTGCAACAATTCACGGTCACGCCTCTGACACCGGCCATTTGGGGAGCAGTGAGGAGGTCTGTGCCCATCCTCTCAGACCCACACCAGTTTCCGCACGCGGACGGCCCCTGACACACAGCCAGAGACTCGGGGGCAGGGAGGTGGCGGCAGAGCCACCCAAGCACATTCCAGAAAGAGCAGAAGCAGGACGAGCTGCTGCGCAAATACCCAGGACAGTGAGATTTTGACTGGTTAAGGGCAAAGTTCCTAACAGACACCTGGTTTAGTCCCGCTATATTTTAGGTGTTAAAAAGGCTGTGTGGTTTGGAGTAAACGCTACGGGAAAGATGACATTTTCTATCAAAAATATTTTCTGGGGGCACCTGGGTGGCTCAGTGGGTTAAAAAAGCCTCTGCCTTCGGCTCAGGTCGTGGTCCCAGGGTCCTGGGATGGAGCCCCGCATCCGGCTCCCTGCTCAGTGGGGAGCCTGCTTCCCCCTCTCCCCCCAGTCTGCCTCTCCGCCTACTTGTGATCTCTCTCTCTGTCAAATAAATAAATAAAAATATTTTCTATATAATTTAGATGATGTTTTCTGGAAGTTTCTATCTAAAGTGAAGTTCCCAACTGCGACTCTTCGGATGTATTTTAATCTCCAATAGAGGGTGAGGGGAGGTAGGTGGGGGTAGCAGATGGAACAAGATGGAAAAAACCTAAGTTTACTCAGTTCCCTCCCCGGGAGGCCTCACCAGAAGTTCGGACACCCGGTCCGGGAGCTGGAAGGTTAAACCCTGCTAGGCAGATACAGGTCCCTCTGCAGAATGACGGAGCCCGGATCCATGAGCTGGACCCCACCTTGTGGGCCAGGGCAAGACCCCCGAGATGCTAACAGAGATGAGCCACCCATGCACAGAGGTGACCTGACCAAGAGACGCCTCCCACCCACCCGCGCAGCGAAGCTCGCCTTTCCCCTTTACGCCCCCCGCCCCCGCGGGCTCAGTGTGGACGCCCGCTGCGGGTCCAGGGCCGCCTCCAGGGGACCAGACGCACCTGTGATCTGAGCAGGCTCAGGGCTTAGCGAGCCCGGTTCCCTTGCAAACCTGCATCTCTCGCCAGTGTCGCGGGGACAACTCCAGGCCAGCGCTGGCCCCGCACAGCTGAGGCGTCCCGGGCAGCAGTAGCCGGGGAAGAGCTCGCACCGCGCCCCAGCCCCGGGGCTCCCGGCACGCCCGGCCCCGCCCGCTGCACGCGCACACCTGCGGCCCCGCAGCCCCCCCCACTCCCGGCCACCCTCGAGGACCCCGCCCCGGAGCCCCAGCCTCGCGGCGCACCCACACCCAGGCCCTTCCCCGCCCGGTCCGCCTCCGCGGAGCCGCCGCTGCCCGGCGCCTTCCACCTTCTCCCGCGCCCAGGGCCGGGATCACTCTGCGACTTCGCCGCCGCGGCTGGAACGGCACAGCCGCACCTGCTCCGCCGCGGGCGGGAAGCGCGTCAGGCCGCCACGACCCCCGCCCTTCCCTCGGGCCCCTTCCCCCCTGCAGCGCCCACCCCAAGCTCTGGCGGTTTCCCTGCAGCGGCGGCTGCGGCCCGCACCTGCCCCCGCCCCGAGCGCGCGCGCGGACTCCCGTGGGGACGCCCGGGGTCGGGAGTGAGTCTTCTCAGGCCCCAGGACCGGGAGGGCAGCCGGAGGGGGCCTGCGTCCGGCATGTCCCCGCCGCGGGCTGCAGGCGCCCGCGCGGGCCGGCCCGGCTCCGGGCACTACACGTCCGTGAAGCAGAACGTGCGAGGCTGATGGGAAACGCGAACGTCTTGCTTCGGAGAAAGCAAGTTGGCAGACCGCTTTCCCCTCCTTTCGGAAACGTCGGCAACGGGGGTGCGGACTGGAACCCGCAGGGGCGAAGCCCATAGCTCGGTTCCCCGCCTGGATTCCCACAGGCCCGTGCAGGGCCCAGGGTCACCGATACGCGGGGATGCGCCCCGGCACAAGCCAGGGCGCACTTCTCTGACCTGGAGACCCTAAATCCAGACCATCCATCGTGCCCCCAGGTCCGAGCGGGCTTGACTCCCCAACCCTCTGAAACGGTCAGTCCCGGGATCCAGCGGAATATGTGGGTTGTGCCGCGTGCGGATCTCGGCTCTGGAACGAAGCCGGTGAGGCAACACCCCTCGGGAGCAGAAACCAGTCCTGGCGGACTCGAGTTTCACCTGAAGCCGGGGGCGTGTCCACGGCCTGGGTCTGGGGGCAGGGGAGGGTCCCCGCACCCTTCCCTTTAGGCGGTGCTGCAGAAGGGACAGGAAGGGGGGTGAGCCCACCCACACTAAACGTGAAAACAGAGACTGGGGTCCTCTCACACGGGCCAGGAGATGGAAATGGAACTGGATTAGGAGACCCTCGGGATTGTATGGTTTTCCTTCATTCCTTGAACTTGGAAGTAGTCATCCCTTGTTTTCCCCTAACAATTAGCAGTAAACCCCTTCCAGAGAAAGGCCTTGGGAGGAGGAGGGGGGCTTCTTTTGGTTGTCACCTTGAGTCGGGAGGATCAGCTGAGCGGGGAGGCCCCCGGCCCATGTGGGTTCAGAGGGTGGGCGCCACTTTAACAGGCTGTGACTTTGTGGATGCAAATGAACAAACTTTCAAAAAATTTTAGAAAAACAGAAAGCTTTGTTTGAGCCCAAGGAGGATGGCTGCCAGGAAGACACAACGGTCACAGAGAGGAGAGTGCTGGCGAACGGACTTTCTGGTGCGGGGCTGTACGTGTTGTTCACACAGTTGTGCGTGTGTAAACACACAGATGTTCCAAATCATCATGAGGAAGGGCATCCCATAAAGTTACAGACTTAGTTCATGTTTCGAGTACCTGCGAGGCCATGTGGTTGTCATCTTATGGGAACCAGGGAGAATTTTTCTTTTTACCTTTATGTCTAGAACGGACCTTTTGGGTCATTTTTTTTTTTAAAGATTTTATTTATTTATTTGACAGAGATCACGAGTAGGCAGAGAGGCAGGCAGAGAGAGAAGGAAGCAGGCTCCCTGCCAAGCAGGGAGCCCGATGTGGGGCTCAATCCCAGGACCCTGAGATCATGACCTGACTGAAGGCAGAGGCTCAACCCACTGAGCCACCCAGGCGCCCGGGTCATTTTTTTTTTTTTTTTAAATGAAGCACAATGTGTGCTTGGGGCAGAAACACAGCCCATGCTTTCAGGTTCTGCTGAGAAATCCTGACCTTGGTCACGGTCAAAAAAGAGCAGCCTCCTTGGAGTCCAAGAGCAGAAGAGTCCTTCGACCGGGTTCGGCTAGGGCCGTGGGGCCGCAGGTGTGCTCCTTCCTGCTTTCCGCCGAGCCGGGGAGGCCTCTGCTCCCTCACCTGGATCATGTGGGCCTCCAGCCTTCTTCCTCTGTGTCTTCGCCCTCCCCGTCTGAGGTAGGTGCCCTTATTCATCCCTGGAAATACACCCGTGCCCTCTCCTTCTCAAGGGTGATGACGGCTTTATGAAGGGCCATTAACACCTGGGCTTTCCTTCCTGGAAGCACCAAAGTGGGCTAGAAAACTATACTTCTGTCTCTGAGAGCATCAGCCAGCGACTCTGTACCAGAGTGGACAGGGAGACACTTGTCCAAAGCAAGCCCCCTCGCCTCCAAGCAGGGACTCTCCACATGGCCCTGCCCTGAAGACACCGTTGGTGTGGGAGGGGCCCAGGACCAGGGTCTTCACAGAGCACCCTGGGGGGTTCTGGGCACAGGTGCATGCCGGCCGTCGCTTCCCTTGTGGGGCATCCAGGGGCTGCTGAAGCTCCCCTCCTCCGCCTCGGGGAGCCAGCAGCACCTGCAGCATCTGGAGCACAACAGAAACACAGGTGAGCGATGCGGACCTGCCAAGACAGCAGGGCCGGGGCCGCCCCAGTCGGCTTTACAAGCCCCCAGGACCCGGGGCTGAAGCTGGAGAACCCTACCTGCACCCCCAGTGACGGGTGGGAGATGAGAGACATAACCAGGGCGCCCCGAGCAAAGCCAGGACACGGAGAGCGCCCGGCCTCACAATGACAAGTACTTGGAAGAAGTAGGAGTGTAGAGAATGAGCTCATTAACCTGCACACAAGGCTGGTTTGAGGGTTTCCCTAGATCAGTGTTCCCAAACTTCTCATGCATCACATGGAAGTAAGGCACCCGGGAGCCCAGAAAAGCCCCAGGTGTGGACTCCCTTGGGGCGGGGCCCCCCGGGGAACGGTCTTCTCTGAAAAGAGCCCAGGCATTGCCTTTTTGGTGGCAGCGGGTGCCCGCTGTCGAGAGCCCACAGCTAGCTGCCCCCCCGGGGGGTGGCTTCACCTCTGTCTGGGTGCATCTTTTCCCTGTTTTGGAAGACGAGGACTGATCTTTCGAGCCTGCAGCCCAGCATGGTCGGGGTGGCCTGGGGCTGGCTGGCCAGGGCACCATCTATTTCCCACATCCTCTGCCCATCCCCTTTGTCTCTTTCCGAAATTTCTCCAGCGTGTTGTCCCCTTACTGCAGACCCACTGTCCAGCACGTACTGGAAAGCTCCTGGAGAAAACACGAAACAACCACCTCTTTTGGTAACGAGAAAATTGCTAGAAAGTAGCTCATCGGTGGGCCACAGGCACACTGGACGCGAGGTTCCCTAGTTCCAGCTGTGGCCCAGCCCCTCGCCTTGCAGGGAGCCCCTTCCCCATGGCAGCGGGGCTGGCCAGCGGCCGGCTGTAGGAGGCGGGTGTAGGAGCCACAGCTTCTCCTCGTGAGGGGCTCCCTGGCCCACAAGTCGGGGAGTGTAGCAGAAGTGAGGGCTGCCAGCCGACCCTGCCTCAGCGCCCTGTTACACGGCAAGTCTGATAATGGGACCTGCCTCCCAGCGCCAAGTAAGAGAGCGGAAGGGCTCTGAGTAATGCCACAGGCGCCCGGGGACGTTAGCAGGTTCTGTTACTGTCCCTCTGGCACCGCACACATTGCTCTAGTCTCTGCTCCCCCAGATGACAGGCGGGTTGTGTGGACGCGTTACCATTGGGCTATTAGTGGCTAACAGTGAGCGAGCCGAAACCCCTTGCCGCCACAGCTGGGTTCCAGTCGGGGAATTCGCAGCGACTGTCCGGATGCTTCTGCCGGATCCTTACGGGATTAAGTGAAGTTAAGATTCTCATCTCGCAGCATCTCGCCCAACAGGAGAGTGAAGGGAGTTCATTCTTGGTTCACACCCGTCCAGGCACGGCTTCCCACGCTGCCTCCCATCTGCCAGGCTTGTCTCCAAGCCACGGTGTCCAGAGGCAGGAAGGGGGGCCTTCTCCTCTCGCACCCTCACTTCTCACTGGCCAAGTGCCCGTTTCTAGACCCTGGCAAGGACAGAGCTGCCTTGACGCCTTGGCTCTGAGGAGGGACACGTGCTGCCCCAACTGGATTCCGGTTAGCAAGGGAGCAGGGAGGGGACCCCAGCACCCCCACTCGCTGGAATGCCTCAGCCCCAAGGAACGCATCGCGAACGGTGCAGCTACGAACTGGGGGACAAGCCCAGACCCTCCGGCGGCCGAGAGCTCGGAACCTCAGCACTGTCATCCGCACCTGGGCGGCTGTGGGGCACACCCGAGGTCGTCCACGGGAAGCGCCACCGGCGTGGTCACGCCACAGTCAGTAGTAGATGTCAACTAGTGTGACTGTCACCTCCTCCTTCCCCCGGAGGTCTGCCTCTAGTTGAGCTACTTAGCGGAAATATTTCAGTGCTCAACTGCCTAAGTACTGATGGTCCTGATACAGCGTGCGGCCTCAGACCCCAAGGAGTCCGGATAACAGACTGCAGACCTGCGCGTTTTCCCAAAGTGCTTTAGCGTAAATAAGATGAAACGTTGTCTTCCTTTAACCACCGTATGAGAGCTACTTGTACACTTTTCCCGTTTCTTTTTCTGCAGCATTTTTATTGTGGTAAAATATACGTAACAGAAACCTCACCGTCCTAACCATTCTAGAATCCGGCTCAGTGGTACCCACACACCCCGCAGTGCGGCCGTCAGCATCGTCCCCGGAATTCCTCCCATCCCGCAAAACCGGCCGTCTCTGCTCACCGAGCCCTCGCTACACCCCACTCCCCAGCTCCTGGCACGGCCACATGCGGTCTCTGATGCCGGCTCCTCGAAGCACCTCGTGCCAGCGCAACCCTACGGGATTTGTGTTATTGTGACAGGCTTATTTCACTTAACCTGACCATATCCTGGCCGATACTTGCATTTTTTTTTTAGTTTTTCAAAAATTTTAAATAACTATATTTTGTCACGAATATTTAGCAGAGAATATGGTTCCCAATGACCTCACATCACTTATTCTACATACAAGTTTCATATTGTGTGTGTCTGTGTTTAAATTCTTCCCCCGATGTGGGGCTGGAACTCACGACCCTGAGGTCAAGAGTTGCATGCTCTTCCAACTGAGCCAGCCAGGGGCCCCTTTGCTGTTTTCTAAATAGGGGCCACCTAATGGGTGTGAGGTGGCACCTCACTGTGGCTTTGACCAGCACCCCTGATGATGCACCTTTTTGTGTGGCTATTGGCCCTGTGTATAGCAGCTTTGCAGAGATTTCTATTCAAATCTTTTGCCTGTTCTTTAATTGAATTGTTCATTCGTTGTTGCTGCTGACTTGTAGGCATTCTTTGTATATTTTCAATATTGATTAGTTATCAGATATATGATTTGCAAATATTTTTGCCCATTCTGTGGGTTGCTTTTTTACTGTGTGGCTAGTGTATCTGTGTGACATTTAAAATTTTTCATGAAACTTGTCTTTTTCTTTTGTTGCCTGT